AATAAATCTTACTACCCCCCCAGTTTCTTCCACTTCCTTCCTCCGTATAAATAATTTATGCGTTCAGCTAGTTCACGAGTAAGTTCCAAATGTTGTTTCTGATCCTCACCAACTGGTACCAAATCAGTCTGCACGAACATGACCAAGAATAGTGTGACAGATCATTAAATGTCAGATTGATAGATTGATAGCACGTTGTCCATATTGAAAAATTCTAGGAATAGAACCAATTAGCTTAAAAGCCAAATATTTAGTATAATATAGTCTCAAAATCTAACAGAGCTAAGTCATTTCCAACTACATATTATTATTCATAGTAAAACAGCCCCTGAAGATATACAACTGGGACGATAATTTACCTGATATAACAAAATATCTGAAGCCATTAGGACAGGATAAGTTAAAAGTGAAACTCCGACATTCTCATCACCCTACCAAAGAGTAGTAAGTTTAGTTCAAATGCTTCAAGAAAAAAGCACCGTTTATCTTATTTTCATACACAGCAAAGTATCAAACTCATGCAATTTTTGTGAAATGGAGAATGTAACATATAGATATCCAGAAGATTGCTTGAAATATATAAATACAGATTCATATATTTGCAAAAGGAAGTCCGCATCCATATTGGGCACAAACTTGCATGTAGGTATGCAATTTTCCTAAAATCACTGTCCTATTCTCCAGATATCAAACCAAAACCATTCACTTTTCATATACAGTTTTATGCATTTTCTGGATAATGAATAGTAGTACTTGAAAAATGCATAATATGTGATCAATATGTATCAATAGGAACTCAGTATCAGTTCTTAAAAGGATTCAAAATGAGTTAAAATTGTAGAACAGTCTCAAACTTAGGTCTTCCCTTCATTACAATTACAGAAAATGCTTGAGAGACTCTTCTTCCTGGACCAGAAGCAACTTGGGTATGTGATGATCACACCTAACTTATGGTTTCCTCTCAATGATTCCTCAACAATCTTCTTAAACATGCATTGGTACACGCAAACCTAAACACATCTGTGCTGGTTTGTGTTTCTGCTAAGTGAACATAAAGTAGCAAGATCTCTTAAGGAACTACCTAAAGAAGATAAGACATTTCCCTATGAATAGAAGAATGACACTTCACATAGGTATCAGATTTGAAGAAGCAGCACATAAAAATAAATAAGGGTTCCAAATATATTTCTCCGGTGATTCATTAAACAAATAGACTAAAAGTTCTGCACACTCCCTCTCTCTCCCTGGAATGCACATGAAGTCCCACCCCACATGAATTCTACTGTGCTCCACATATATGGTGCATGATATCCACCTAAGGACTCAAAAGATGATACTAGGATTTGGAATGCCTGTCTAGATTGTCAAGCAGCTTCTCTATCTACTGTCATATGTATTCATATACATTTCAGATAATGGGTCACTAATGAAAGTAAAATTTTCACCATTAAATATAAAATTGTAACTGATATTTGACATTTAATTATTGTAAACAATAAATCCAAATAGATATGTAAAAATAGTGAAGTTAAAATAAGTAAAACAAATTAGTAGAACGTTATATTAGAAAAGAAAATTTTAAAAAAAGTGATAAAGCCTGTGACAGCGGCACACACCGCCTTCCGAGATTTTTCTTTAAATTGGATCATCCTGTTCAGCCAACCAAGTGGTGTAGCAGAACTGAGCAGCCACATCAACTCCACATGAGCACGGACATGAGATTGCACAAATATTGAAGCCTGAAAATGCAGACAGTACCTCTAAAACGCTGGATGGAAAATGAAAATAACAAAAGATATCAACTACAAATAGTAAAGACATTCATAGACCTTGAGTGGGTCGACACCACAAGCTAGATATATAGCAGCTGTACTTCTTGTTGCTTTCAACAACTCTGGGGTATCATATGGTAGTGTGATCTGTAAAAGACATCAAAAGATCAACAATTTTGAAATCAGCCAAATTTAAGAGAAAGTCTTAGCAAGGTAAATGATATTTACGTTAACAAATTCAGAATAATATTCTACAACAAAAAAGGAGTTATAATTGAGATATTAGATACTCTTATACTAGACCAGGTAGCAGTACTAAGTTCATGTCATGATTAAAAAGTCAAGGATCCAAGGAAACTTACTGCATGTAAGTCTACAATGAAGAAGAGTGTATCATAAGTATCCTGCAACAGATAGCAAGATCAGGAAAATAACATCATTATGCCAACATGTAAAAGTATTGAACAATGGCTCTTTCTTTTAAGTCATTCAGAAATTCTGATCTTCAAAACATACATGCTTATTGAAGCAGCAGAAAATTAAAAAAAGATCCAACTTTAGATGCCATACCCTACACCATTATCATGTGACCAATACAAGCCAACAATCTGCAAAAGGGTGTACTGGCATACACTTGGCAAAATCATGGACCCATGACAATGATAATGTACATGAGAACAGAAACTAAAATCATGACCAGGAGTAGTGTAATGCTGTTAACCATGCAAGGAAGACTGCGGAAGTAACAGAAACTAAAAGTACTAAGCACTGTAACACATAATACATACAGTTTATTTTGTGTTACAGAATTACTAGAGCAGGAAGCATTGATTCTTTATCATTCCACAATATTTGTACCATATGATCGAATTCCATATTCGGATTTAAATTGAGTAATTTAGTGATAGTTAATACTAACGAAAATATAGGACTTTAGTTCTAAGTGGCTTATAAGCAAGATCATGCATCACATAGATATATCAGGATAATTCTTTAGTTCAATCATCCTTAAATAGCTGTCAACTTTGCATCTGAAAAACTTGAGATTAAGATAATAATGAAAGAAAGTGAAATAACCTGAAGGAGAATCCAATTTTTAATTGCACCAAGGTAATTTCCAAGGTGTACTGATCCCGTAGGTTGGACCCCAGAAACAACCCTTTTCCTGATTGTTAAAGCATTCAGAAACCAAGTTAATCGCACAAAACAGATGCAGCACAATGTACTTCAATAGGTTACATGAGAAAGTAGCAATCACACATAAAAGATGCAGCAAAATGTACTTCAATAGGTTACATGAAAAAGTAGCAATCTCATGGTATATATGATAGCCAAAGCTGCTGCTTTTCATCAATATAAACAAGAGAAAGTATCTAAATTTTTTGCATTTGTTCATGCATAACACTAGCATCAGTTTTACTGTGTAATTTTTCATCATAATGCCAACAATTCATCCTCAAGCTGCTAAAATTGTTGTGATTTCTGGATAGATTTTTGTCATTAAATTTTTAAACTATAATTCATAATCGAGCTGCTAAGTATACAGCAATGAAATAGATTTTTCAATTTTTCTGTAAGTTCAGGATTGGTTTTGTCATTAGTTTTTTAAACTACTTGGGAACTATATAGTCTTCTTAAATCTATTTGTTCTCTAAGATTCTCAATATGATCCTAGCATAGGTTAGACAAATCATCGAAAAGATTTCTCAGTTCATCATGATAGATCAGGAGAACAATTGCTTAAAGTTATATAATTCCTATGATGATGCTGTTAACAAACATTAGTATCTACTGTGATCTCACTGACTAAACATGTCAAGCAGAACCAATGTTACCTTGCAAAAGCACCAAATCTATTGGGTCCTACATTCTTGCATCTCAAACTTCAACAATAGTTTGCAGAAAAGAAATGCTTGTAAGAAAGAATATTGAACATCTCTAAGTAGAAACATCGACGGAATTCTCTCCTTATGATACTAAAGGTCAGAAGACTATTCACTAGAGAAGGTCAAAGAGCAATATACTGGTGCATACAATGTCTGAAGCATCAAGAAAAAGGCAATCAAATTAACCCAGGTGAAATGCTGAGATTTACTGATTTAGATAGAAGTTAGAGTTCTTAACACTGAATAGTTCAAATATTTGATTATTGGAATTGGATATGACCAGAAAATTATGTTTGCATCAATATAGTTAATAGTAGAACATATTATATAATAAGATCCTACTGACTGACTAGATAAATAAACAGACATATACGGAGACAAACTGTAAGTACATTACCAGAATGACCATAGTCAAGACATTGAAAGATGAAACGCTATAAAGATGGCGAGACTCAAAACTGAATTAGGAAAGCTTCAATGAGCCCAAGGAAGCTCCAAATTGATTCCTTTGGAAAGAAATATTTATCGATTAAGTTCATCAGTCACTAACCACTAACAGTCTATACGACTATAAACAATTGACTTGATTAGACCAGAAAAAGCTCTTCTTGGATCAAAGTTTAGACCTTTTTCCATCGAAAGGCACCAGGAAGCAATGTTAATGTTAAACCGTAAAAATCACATGGGACACCCGGAACAGCATCTGAGCAGTCCAACAACAAAGATAATATCACAAACGCTTACCTAATAGGGCTGGGAGAAACCCCGGGGGCCTCGGCCACAGGAGAGGAAGCGGTGCAGTTGCATCTAAAGTCCAAGCCGGGCAAGAGAGGGAAACGAGACGGGACAGCTCCTCGGGTTCTTGTGAGATCTCGACCACGGCCGCTGTTTCGATTTACCAAGAAATAAGTTCACCGACTTGGAAGATCGAAATCCGAAAAGACAGAGAAGAAACCCAAGCAGACGCAGTAATGGCGAAGCACGGACATGATCGATGTGGAGAAGCGAGGGGGGCGGTCGGAGAGGATGAGCAACTGAGATAGGAGAGCGCGAGCCATCGCCAATCCTCGCAGCGCTAATCTCTCTCCCCTTATTCCCACCTCACTTCTCCCTCTTAGCGTTACGAGGACCGTTAGTAATATCGGATATATCGGATATTATATAACGGTCATATCAAACAATCATGAATTATGTGCCGTTTTAATATAATGTAACAGATACATAAAGAATACCGTTTTGAAACGAAGCTCGTTCTTTGACGGGGCCTTTGATGGGCCGGGCCCAACGTTTAAAGTTTCCTACACGAATCACAGCGAGCACAAATGGCTGTGATCTATCCGCAGCCGTTCCCATCCTTCCTCGGTTGAGACGCTATTGCTTCGTCGATGTGATCCAAACCCTCTTCTCGGTGCCCCTCCTGGACCATGGAGCTCGCTGCATCGAGCTCTCTCCTATTCTCCTCCCTCCCCCTCGCCCCATCCCCACCAAAAGCCCCTTTCCGCTCGATTCCGCGCAAATGTTTCGTTCCACGCAATTCCGTCAATCCACCGCTAGATGACCAGAATGAGGAGGAAGCCAAGAAGAATTGCACCATGTTGCTCCAGCTCTCCGTCACCATGACCGTCATCTCCTCCTCGCTTCCGCTGCCACGTGCTCACGCTGGGGTCACCGAGAAGAAGCCGAGGCCAAAGCGCCCGGCGGAGACCCTTTCCCCTGAGGAGCTCAAATCCTGGTCCCGCGGCCTCCCCACTGTCGGCGACCGTATTCCATATACCGAAATCTTGACCCTTAGGGACGAAGGGAAGCTCCGGCATATCGTGAAGCCACCTTCCGTCACCTTGAAGCTGCGGCCGAACCTGGTGCTCGTCGTCCTCGATGATTCCAGGGTCCTTCGGGCGGTGCTGCCGGCGGCCGAGAGGGATGAGAGGTTTTGGGAGTCCTGGGATCGGCTCGAGTTGGATTCTTTTTGCATCAATGCATATACCCCCCCGGTCCGGAAGCCGGAAGTCCCCACCCCCTATTTGGGGTGGTTGGTAAACATTCCAGGCCACTTTCTGTCAATGGAGAAGCCCAAACCCAAGTCAAAGCGTGTGTTGGAGCTTGAGAATGCACGGAAGGAGCTGGCAGAGAGGCGGAGAGAAGAGTTAGCAAGAGTGAGGGCAGAGAGGGAGGCGATGGAGAAAATTATGAAGGCACAGAAGAAGGCGGAGGAAAGGAAGAGGAGGAAACAGATTAAGAAGGCCAAATACGAGGAGTCGCTACGGCAGGCTAGAAAGAATTATCAGCGGATGGCCTATATGTGGGATGATATGGCGAGGGACAAGAATGTTGCCACTGCTATTGGGTTCGTGATATTCTACGTCTTCTACAGAACTGTTGTGCTTAATTATAGGAAGCAGCAGAAGGATTATGAAGATAGGCTGAAGATTGAGAAGGCAGAGGCAGAGGAACGGAAGAAAATGAGGCAGTTGGAGAGGGAAATGGCAGGACTTGAGGGACCAGGGGAAGATGAGAGCGAGGAGAGAGGAGATGAGCAGAATCCTTATATGAAGATGGCAATGAAGTTTATGCAGTCAGGTGCTCGGGTGAGGCGAGCGAATAGTAAAGTACCACAATACTTGGAGAGGGGAGTCGATGTCAAGTTTAGCGATGTTGCTGGTCTTGGGAAAATAAGGCTAGAGCTTGAGGAGATTGTGAAGTTCTTCACATTGGGGGAAATGTACAGGAGAAGAGGCATCAAAATACCAGGTAAGGGTCCTTGTTTAGATTGTTATAGTGTTTCTTCTTAATGCAGATTATAGTCTGACAATCTCATTGGAGTTACACTAGGCATGCATAGTCAATGTCTTATTCAGTCTCTCATTCTGGAACAAAGCTCTGAAGAGTGAGGCTTAAAATAGTTTTCTTCACAGGTTATGTTGAGCTAGTTAATCCATGTATAGTGGCTTATGCCACAGACTCATAGTTACTTGGCTTTGATTGGCATTCTTTATGTCGAATTCTTAAAATAATAGTTAACTACAGGATAATTGCTTGTTACTTGGTTAAAAGATGCATCAAGAACATGCATGATCTGATACGGATGCTATAACTCATAATCTGCCTATTCCTAAGTTTGAAGCATGAGCACATAAATTTGCTTTCCATTGTTGGTTTTTTTCATTTTGCTTATGGTCTTTATGAAATATTCCACTGACCCAAAGTTTACATGATTCTCCATGCTGTATCACATTACTTGATTTATGTGTTGAGGTTGGGTATGTTACCCCAAATAGTTGCAAAGATGACATGTCGTTGTTGTTATTGTTGTTATTGCTGTACGTTGTGTCTGTTATTATTTTTCATGGTTATATGGTTATACTGAGAGAGAGCACTATGTCATAGCATGATAATCGGTGCATATGCTATCATAATCCTGTTAAGCACATATTTCTTTTACTTCTCTATTATTGTATCATTTGTTAGTTCTTCTACTGTGTAGTCATCTGTTTCTTTAATATTATTCCTTTAAATTGTCATCTGTTTTGTAGTCACATGAATGCATGAAAAATGGTGGATAAATGTAGTTATCTGTTTTGAAGCCACATGGAAGTATGACAAGTGCTGGATAAATGCTTTGGATGGATTATATTACATTAGCACTTGAAACCGTGAATAGGTGTTCTGCTTGTAGTTGCTTAAAGCGTCTAAAGATTTCTCAGCAACTTGGAAGTTGCTTAAAACAAATCTGAGATGACTCGTTCATCAATATTTTGCCAGTTTGCATAACTGGAAAAACTGGTGAACTCAAAAATTTCCTAAGCAACCTGGATATTTAGGGCAAGACTTGACCATTAATACAAAATTTGGAGTATTGGCAAACATATTTATCTCCCATGGTTTTGCCAATTTCTGCATATGTTGTGAAGTATAAAAGTTTAGTATCCTGAAGAGATTGAGCTTATCAGGTAGAACCTGACTATTTTCTCGCTGAATCTCTGTATGCAAGTATCTATTTTCTAATTTGAGGCATCTACAACAGGTAATTTCTCTTGAACTTGTCAAGCTAGTTGGTGATGTGTTTTAGGCCGGATCAAAAAATTGAGTCCATCTGGTTCTTGTTGGGTAACTACTTCAGATTATTGTTTCATCTTTTTTTTTTGGATAGGGCATGCCTATTAATCACATGTGATTCTTTGATGTGGACTTGATATTGATTATTCCTTTTCGCCCTTTATGATTCACCTTTTCACCTAAACCAGACGTAGGGCAGAAACAGTAGGATCCAGTAAGAATAAAGGAAATGGCCTTAGTGAATATTTACAAATTACAACACTCTGAAACTATTTATTCTATTTTCTATATCAGAACTTAACAAATTATCAGATACTGAAGCTTCAAAGTTTGATTTTATTAATTACTAAATGATTATCAGACACTACAGGTCTTAATAATTCTTCCTTCTCCAGAATTGTAACACATACAGTTTATTATGTATAAAAGCCTTCATTCAACATTATGGTCTCATATATCTGCTAATACTGCTATGATATAGGTGGCATACTTCTGTGTGGGCCTCCTGGTGTGGGTAAGACATTATTAGCGAAAGCTGTTGCTGGTGAGGCTGGTGTGAACTTCTTTTCAATTTCAGCTTCACAATTTGTGGAAATATATGTTGGTGTTGGTGCTTCTCGTGTTCGTGCACTGTACCAAGAAGCCAAGGAAAATGTAAGCCCTGGCGAGTTGCATTGAATCTTCTTTCTAACAATTTCATATGCTCAACATAGCAGTAAATTATAGTTTCCCCATGTTTTTAGTTAATCTTTTTAGTGTTATTTCTTATCTCTGTATACTATTTTGTTTGTTTGTTTGTTTACGCTTATACTACATGTTTAGTGTAAAAGTGCTGTTTATATGCCGAGATGCTGATCACTTTACACTTATTTGCTATTTGAAGTCTAATGTTATTGCTGGCCTCAGTTTGACCTTAAAAAATATTTTCTGAATGTTTTCTAGGCTCCTGCTGTTGTGTTTATTGATGAACTAGATGCTGTTGGAAGAGAACGTGGTCTTATCAAGGGTTCTGGTGGACAAGAACGAGATGCCACACTCAATCAGGTAAAAGAAAGGAAATGGTGAACAGCTGCTATTCTTATTATAGTTGATTATCTTACAAGTTTAATATATTTGACATCCTTATCTTCTTGTAATCACTGAAGCTCCTTGTATGCTTGGATGGCTTTGAAGGAAGAGGCAATGTAATTACCATAGCTGCAACCAATAGACCAGATATCCTTGATCCAGCTCTTGTGAGACCAGGGCGGTTTGATAGAAAAATATTCATACCAAAGCCTAGTCTAATTGGTCGAATTGAGATTCTGAAGGTATTAAAGTCTAATTTACTAACTGTGATAATTCATTTGACATGAGATGTTTAGTCAAAAGTTTCTATGGGTTTTCCAATGACCAGTTTTCCTTGTAGGAGCTTCTGCCTGCTTACCTATTCTGTATTATCTGTACATGCTCATAGGGTTGGCCTTTTAGCTTTTATTATTCCTATGGCAATTCATTGTTGAAGAGATTTGTATTTGCAAAAGCCAACAGCCCTAGTTTTGAGCTTTGCATTACAAACATGATAGAATCTGCTGCATCAGTAGTGTATTTTCTGTAAAAGTCATTTTATACAGTTTTTCTTATTTTGGCTTGAGCCTGCAAATGTCTGTTTAAATTGGTCATTTTAATGTTTCTTCTTTTGAGAATTTCAAGGGAAAGCTGAGTCAAATATTTAGGTTTTTGTGCTCTCCTAATTTTGTTTGGCTTTATACTCTGAGTGAAAGTCTCTTTTTTTCAGTTTTTTAGATGCTTCATTTGTTTAAATTCATATGTTCAGTTCAGCTATATATGTTCTTTTTATTATATTAAGCACGCAAACATGCAGCACTCAAACTATTTTTTTTTATAGGTTTTCTGCCGAAGCAAAATTAATTAAAAGATTTTATGTTCTTTTTTTGCAACGAAAAAACTTTGGCTTTGTTCCTAACAGGTTCACGCTCGGAAAAAGCCAATGGCTGATGATGTGGATTATATGGCAGTTGCCAGTATGACTAATGGAATGGTTGGTGCTGAGCTGGCAAACATTATTGAAATTGCTGCCATTAATATGATACGTGATGGAAGGTCTGAGGTAAACTACCTCTTGCAAGTCGGTCTAATTCTTTGATGATTCTAATATATATTAAGTAGTTAACTGATATCACTCTTTTTGGTTGCACAAATGCATCCTGATATGAGATGTTCATTGTCTAGGATGACTATTTAGTTTGTGAAATACTGCATTAATACAGTGGTTGGATAAGATTATTGTCGGATGAACTAACAGTTTAGTTAATGCTATAATTATATTATCCCTTATAAGCTACTCTGCATTCAGACCATTAACTTTCTGGGCCACCGCATGGACATCACTGGTCAAAAATGAACAAAAAAGAGAAAAACATCCTACTTTCTCTAGTATTAGTAAATTTCATTTCTTTTTTGTCTTGTGTAGAAATAAGGAGAGAGAGAGAGAGAGAGAGAGTCTATTCTACTCTCCAGCTTTTCTGTTCTGTTGTATGTTTCTCTAATTAACGGAGCTAGATTATCTAGTTTAAGTTGTTCTTAAATTATTGTCATTTTGTATCTTGTGAGAATTGCATATATTACGAGCGACTTGTCTCCAACGTTGCAAAATTGATGTACATTTATTGTATTTGTTTTAGCATATATTATTAGTATCACTAGCTGTTTGCTCTCTCTCTCTCTCTCTCTCTCTCTCTCTCTCTCTCTCCCCCCCCTATCATGGGGATGTTTAGGATTGATTTCCATCTTGTGTAATCTGCACATTTTTCCCACCTTTGTGGTTGATCTCTCTGACAGCTGGGGCTTGGAAGGGTATAAAAATGCTCTTGCACCATATTTCTTGTCTAGATCAATTAAAAAAATCAAATTGTATATTATTGTGGAGTATAAAAGAATGATGGACTTGGCACATCAAGGATGTCACTCAATGCTAATATCTGATTGTGATTGCACTTCTTGATGCTTTTCTGCTATGGTTGCTATATTTTATCAGGGTGTCCTTAACCTATTTTATTAAATTATTTGCACTGGTCCAGATAACAACTGATGACTTATTACAAGCTGCACAAATTGAAGAAAGAGGAATGCTTGATAAAAAGGATAGGAGGCCAGAGATGTGGAAACGATTGGCTCTAAATGAAGCAGCTATGGCTATTGTAGCTGTCAACTTCCCTGATCTAAAGAACATTGAGTTTGTACTGTCTGTACTCTCTGCTTTATAAATTGACGCATTTCTGTGCAGCACTTTTTCATATTACTCACAGGATCAATTCATTATATTTATTTAATCATGCATCCATCTGTCTAGAATAGACACTTAGTGATCATTATGCCGATACTAATTGCAGCTATGATCTTATTATGAACTATACTGCCGATTTGGCACTCGCACCTGTCATGGGGACATGTTTGTATTCTTACATGTTTATATGCATAATAATCTTCCTGAAGCTAGTTAGAGTCATCAATTGAAGCTGCATTTATATGATTTTTAGTAGTTGAAGCCTTGTTTCTCCATCCAGATAACCATTGCACCTCGAGCTGGCAGAGAATTGGGTTATGTGCGAGTCAAGATGGATCATATTAAATTTACAAAAGGAATGCTTAGGTACTTCTTTCTTTTGGAACCAAAATTTTTGTTTCTTGGTGCATCAAGTTCCAATATTGCACTTTAAATAGCATATGGGGTGTAAAAATTTTGGCAATAGAACCTGAATTTAGCTGTATCTTATTTTAAGTTGGGCAATTTTTTTAAAATGATTGGCTTATGTGTTTTTTTATTTTTACAGCCGCCAGTCCCTGATTGATCATATCACTGTTCAGATAGCCCCTCGGGCTGCTGATGAAATCTGGTTTGGTGAGAATCAGGTAATTGAAGGTGTACCATATTTAATTTTCTTGTTTGGAAGGACACATTTGTTGAAAGGGACTAATCCGTTGTTGCTTGTATTGTTGTCCTTTTACATGATATATTATAGGAAGTAAAAACCTGCTATACTTGATTCTACGAATTCACGATTGATTTGTACTTGACTTGATTGATTGTCATAGTTGTGTTAACTTTGATTCTGCTAGTTAAAAGGTAATAAAGCATAAATTTTATTTTTGCGGGGTTTGTTTCAATTGTAGATACGTAGTGATATCTAACTTAGAGTAAGTTAGCCTGTATCTGTTACGCAGCACTTCTTACTCACAGGTCTTTTGAGTTGGAGTAGCCCTGGTTCACAAGGTCATGCTTTATAGTCAGCCCCTGTTTGTCATAGTTCTTTATGGTTCATGCTGTGTACCATGCCACTGGTGCTGCACTATGCCATTTCCCTGTTTATGATCCACTGCATGTCGATGCCATATCTGAGACAATTGTGTAGCATGCACTATGCACTAGCATAGTAAATCCTTGGTTCTTCTAATTATGTTGGTTTCACATAATGTATCTATTGTTTTGTTCTCTATTATGCTTGGCCTTGAATCAGCATTAATTATGTTAATGCTTCAACGGGAAAGAGAACTCATTCTTGCAAGGGATGCTAGGGCTCATTGAAGCCGTTGAAAAATCTTACATGCAATGACCATTCTAACAGGTCACAGATATATTGTTCAAACAAGTTGCATGAAAATGGCCTGGTGCTCAGAGCTTACTTTAGTAGCCCAGTACTACTATCCAGCCATGGGGTGGCAATTCTGGACCCACCACAAACACGACATGGTAAGAGAGGCCTTGGGTTATATTTAGGTTGACAGGATTAACCTGATTAATTAATGGTCTGATTTCAAGCATTACGCATTGACACGATTGATCCAAATTGATGATGACAACAACAACAACTAAGCCTTAAGTCTCAATTATTTGGAATCGGTTACACGGATCTTTTGCCATCATTCAGGTCCGTAAAGAGACATATGTTTAGAGTATTCAAATCTTTATTTATAGTTTTCTCTGCCTCCTCTCTTACTACTAACATTAATCATTTCGCTTCTTCTAACTATCGCAAATTGACCTGAGTGATAAACTAAGTTATGCGTGTTAAAACTATCATTACCAAAAACAATGTGCTGTTTACTACTGCTGAGTTGATTAGACAGTATATGACTATATGTTGAGTTTAAGGTCAAATGTTGTTGAAAATGAGTTAATTGTCTGATAGTATGATTTGAGTTGACCTCTTTATCAAATGGATTGCAGGCTGGTTCAATTCACATGTTATATGTTTTGGGTGAAAATGAAATTATTATTTTTCAGTTTTCTTTCTATACTGGATGTCACCAACTTGATAATACACACATCATAATGGGCTTTCAATTGGTAATGACTAATGATATATATTTTCCTTGTTTCTTTCTGAATATGGTTCTTCAGTTTATCTAGTACTCAGGCATTACCAACCGGTGTACATCTTTAATGTCGTTAATATAGATTGGTTAGCTGTGTTAAAAATTTAGTTCCTCAGTGTCCCTTGGAACCAATGTGACTAAGATGAAAATGTTGTACATACAATTACAGCTGAGTACAATTTGGGCAGAAACAGCAGACAATGCAAGGTCAGCTGCACGTTCCTTTGTTCTTGGTGGCCTCTCAGAAAAATATCATGGACTGTCCAACTTCTGGGTTGCAGATCGGATCAATGTACCTTCTATAATTTTGTAATTTTTGAATGCACTGCCAAAAGTGTTGTATGTCTGACAATGAATATTTAACCAGGATATTGATCTGGAGGCACAGCGGTTACTGAACAATTGCTATGATCGAGCAAAAGAGGTATTTACTATGTTCCTGTAACCTTACTTTTAGTAAATCTTAGTTATGTGGATTAAATTGCATAATCGAATTGATATTCTGTAGATATTGCGACGCAATAAAGAGTTAATGGATGTGATAGTTGACCAATTAGTTCAGAAGAAAAGTCTCACCAAGCAGGAGTTCTTTCGCCTGGTGGAGGAATATGGTCATGTTGATCAGATGCCGAAAAATATTATTGATATAAGGAAAACGAAGCTTTTGCAATTTCAACAAATGATGATGGCTGGGAAGGAACGAGCTCAGGGAAGCCTTGTCTGATATGCTAGAAGAATTATCGTTAGGTATGCCTAAAATCAATGGCTATGTGTGCTTGAATTGCTTGTTTTGTTCACAATTTTAATGGTTCTCCCACTTTACCATAATTAGTTTTTTCGGGGCAACCATTGTCGGAAAGATCAGACCACCTTTTTGGTTGTGGTAATCTTTGCAAAAGCAAGCAAGAATCTGCGACATGTTATTGTTTTCCAGGACTTTACGCCATTCTCTTTTAGATCTGAAATAATGGAGATTTTCATGTATAAAAGTTGCATTCCTTTCATTATCCGGCATCATAACCATCAGTTCACATCTATCAAGCAAATTATGTAGTCTTATATTATGCTGAAAGTGTCAATTTTAAATGACTGTCATATAAAGGAAATTTTTATGGTTGACACTGGACACGGCCCTATGGTTGCTCCTGCCTTTAACAAAACACCAAGAGAATGGCATCTCTTTTCTGCCATGGCAACCATTCAACAGTAAATGGTTTGAGTAGTCTTTGCTAAATAGCAGGCTTTTAATGCCATTGATCATTTCCGTTGCTTGATTTTCTCATCTGTATGGTTTCATCTTGGTTTTTCAATTCACTTCATGTTTATGGACTGAATTAAACCCATGATATTGTTTCTTGATAGATGCCTGCCGCAGTATTTGGGATTGGCACATATGGATCAGTTATTATCCTTCCAATTTGCTGTGCTCAGAATCAGTCCCTGTTCCCGAGTTAAAAATTGGAGCATATTGTTACAATTGGCGTCATCACTATGGTGCCGATATCGTCTTCTTAGCAAGATAGCATCACAGCTACTTCCCATTCTGGTGGTGCTGATACTTTGGAAAGTCTGAGAGCTTTTCTCATGTTTTTTCTTATGGCATGATGAGTATCCATGTGATTGCACATGCAGAGTTGAGATGGTTGGAAGATGTCCAAATTCCTGATATCTGATTTGGATCAGATTCATAGCGGATGGAGGTAAATCAAGAGGTTCCAACCTGCAAATTTTGTGCCTTGCTCATCCACCACCAACTAAAAAATTCTAAGCCTTGTAGCGCTCTGCTGTTATTTCTTTTGATCATTGAACTGTGCTTTTGTTATGTTTAGGTAAAGTGATTTCTTGATTCTGCTCCATAGAGCAGACTTTATTGTGGACAAAGCCAACCCAAAATAGATTCATTGGAAGATAAATCGGACAAAGTGCAAGTGAGAGTAAGCGTGTTTCTAAGCAATGCCTTTACCTTGTATTTATTCGATTATGGCTAGGAAGGAGTAACATGTCAGATCAGCAATGATATCAGCATGTAACATTTTTGTTTTTGTTTATTTGTTTTTCCCAAAGAAGTGAAAATTATATTAAGAAGCTGAGCACAACCAATCAATGGTTCCCATTCCCATCACAACCAATCAAAAGAAAACACATTACAAGTAATTAATTTCTCCTTCGTACATATAAGATTTTAAATTTCAAGAAAGATTGGCAACTATATCTTGAATCAAACTACGGATTCTTCAAGGGAGAGAGAGCAGTTTCAAGTGTCACGAGATCCATCGTCGTCATCCTCGAGTCTCTTTCAATGTGTATCTTATAAATCTCAGTTGTTTCGTTGAGAATAATCATTCCTTTATTGCAGTAGCCTCCGGTCACTGTTTCTCAGAATGACCCTCTCTTGCAAGAGGCTCTCCGAAGAGGGTTCCAAGTAACTTTGGATTTAATTTACCCTATCCTATCATTGGTTTTATGTAAAAGCTCTTGAAATAAAGCCATAGCCCGATAATACACAGATTGAGGCATTCAAGTTATACCTAAAAGAGTGTTAGGATATAATATTCAAGATTGACTTAATAAGAATGATCGTGTCAGTTTGAGAGAAAGGATCATTGCCGAGTCCCAATTTTATTGGTGATCTTGGTTACAGTTTGTTTAAGAACATGAGAAGACACCCTCTTGCCAAAGGGTTACTATAGTTTTAGGATGCTCGATAGAAAAGTTGCCTTCTTAGATGTTAAACCGATTGCATACTTCTTTCTTTATATCGAGATAAGTGGTTTGAGGGAGGCATATACCAAATTTTAGGACAATAATTTGAAAATTGGTAAGTGATTCTGAAAATTTTTTTTGAACACTTTGGCAAGAGGTTTGGTTAGCTTTAAATAAAGCATAGAAAAATGTCATTAGAGCATATATATAAGAGATTAATATATTGAATGTCAGGAGATGATCATAAGCTTTTTCTAAATCAAGACAAATTAATACATAAGAATTTTTGTTCTTAAAATCGTACATTACAATCTCTTAGGATAATCAAAATATTTTTATTTATGTTAAATTTAGGTAAGAAGACATAAATTTAGGTAAGAAAACAGATTGTACCTTAGAAATTAATTAGGGAGTCAAGAAAAGATTTCATTCGATTAGCAAAAAAATTGGCAATGATCCTATAATTCACATTATACAAAGAGATTGGCCCAAAATCCCTAACCTGACATGGATTATTGCACTTACGAATGAAAATAATGAGTCTTGATGCGGTCCGAAAGCAAGAAGAAGAAGAACAGTATAGTATGATAGAAGACTTTAGACATTGGGTCTCTACGACAGTCCCGATAAGTTCAGAGAGCATCTCTTCTGTCACTAAAGGGTTGATAAGAAAATTAACCTCGATCGTACCAAAGCTTCAGCCATCCATCCTAAGCCAACTCAAGTAAGAGGGACAAAAGAAGATGTAGAATTATCATTCCAAAGAGAGTAGTAGAATAAATCAAACTCTCTCACCAGTGATGGATCCATTGGGTAAAAACAGATGATTGATCAGATTAGCGGCATAATGCATGTAACATTGCCAACCCAATTGATGAAACAAATCATGTTGAAACATTGTATTTCAGTGTGGCTCTGAGAAGAGCACAAAAGCAAACAACATGTAGCACAATGTTGTCAATACAAGAGCAGGTCATAATACATTTAGAAAGAACTTATCCACAACAGCTTTTCTTTTAACTTATGCAAGCATACATTACCCACCAGAGAAAACCGGATTAGAGACGATCACCGAGCGCAGCATAGCTACTAGTAAATGAAAAGAATACTGCTAAATGTAGTATACACATCCTAAGCTTCAGACATGCTCACTCATTAAAAGAAGGATGGATTTGCTCCCACCTTGAACCTGGTCGATCATTCAGCTATTGGATCACACATCCACATGCCTGTAAAGGATTAGATCCCCTGAGTTAAACAGTGCTGGCATATGAACTATGTTGTAATCAGATTCATCAGCAGTTGGAATATACTTGCAACTCATGGCAAAAATATTTCAGAAAGATAGAAAACAGAGAGCTTCCAGAAAACCAGCGATTCATCTGTCGGCAGCAGTAGTACTCTGAGGCTACAGCTTTTTCGGGAGGTTGTAAGTTTTCTTTAGAAACCTTGTGGCACTCTCATCGTTTCTGTGGCACAACACCCGCAGAACTGTATTGGCCTCCGTAGGATTCCAGTTGCCAGAGGTTGGAGGTAACGGGTACCTGGATTTGGCCGAAGCGCCATATGTTTCTGTAATCAATTGTCTAAACCGCTCGATGAGGCTTTCGGTGTCAGCATGGAATAGAGGCAGCACATTTTTCACTTGTGCCGAGGCCTTCTCAACTAGTTCCTGGGGTAATCCATCACCTTCGGCCAGGTATATGTCCTTGAGTGACCTAAAATCCTCATCTATTATCTGTGAATCTTGGCGGGAGAATGCACGAAGTGGGCCGCCGGCAAGAAGAACTAGCAAAAACCCATCAAAAGAAGCCTTCATTAATGCAGTTATGACACGATTTCTCACCCTGTTGTGCACCGTATTTGATATCATCTCCAGAATCGGGTCAAGTTCCTTTATAAACGGATCAATTCTCGATGAAGTAGTCTCACCAATGTATAAGGCATCCCACAGAACATGACTCAAGTCACGGAAGATCACCTTGTAAGCTGTTGTCTCGCATAGTTGCTGAATTCCTTCTTGACAAGAAGCCAGAGTAAGCTCGAAGCTGACCTCCAACCCATTTGATATATCTGCTTGTGCTGATTCAACATTCCGTAGACAAGTTTTTATTTTCTTCTCCAGGTTCTCTAACTCTGTCCGTATATAATGAAGTGAATTCATGCGTACACAGAGCTGTGGCAGACCAAATGAATTACTATCTCTTGATCCAACCTGTGATCTGCGTTTTGGCAAATTCTGTGGCTTCTCTTTTTTCTTCCAAAGTTTTGAACCAACCTCACATCTGGTTAATGTTGGCAACGAAGGCAGAAAACTACTTCGGGTTGCTGAACAGAAAGACAACGGTAAATAATTTAACATTCCACCGATTGAAGCAACCTATTTGCAGTGTTACTTGATACTTACCACATCCAGACTTCACCTTTAATGCATAATGTTGCAGACTTCTATCAAGTTCTATCAACAAGTCAGGAAGCATGGCTGCATGCATTGGTATAGGCAGTTGAAAGAATGCATCTAAAGTCTCATTAATAATCCGTAGAACTTCAGTTGCAGAAGGTGCACAGTTCTCTCTGTTTGCCCCTGGATTCCAATTCTACAGAGATGTTCCACATAACAATATCAGAAATCAGGTTATATTAAAATGTTTAAAAAGTGAAAAAACATAAAAATATTACATGTTGGCACATAAAGAGTTTTTGTGTCATATAAGTCTCTAAATCAATGAATCGTCATTTACTACATATTTAAAAGGCACAAATCTACCTATGCACATTTAGAAAAAGGCAAAAGCACAACCAGGGGTTCTTAATATATGGCCTACATGTAGACTGCAAAGTGAAATCTCGAACATGGAGGCCCTAGTAAAAAGAAGTGCAACATGCTTATAAGAATGATAGTACTTTAAAAAAAAAATTTCAAGATGCCATAGTGAGAGGTAAAAACACATTTACTATTATGACAGAAGCAAATAACATCAGTTGCTAGTGGTTCATTGGCTTATTTGTGCCTTTCTAATGGTACTCATTATCTTGCTTGAAGCGTGTCAACCCTCCCTGCCCTTTTTTTGTTTCTTTCTACTTCTTGTAATGTTTTCTCTTCTGCACTCCTGGCAAGCTCTGGGAACTTAGCCCCTTGTTTGTGTGAAATTAAACAGCAACTAACAAGAGTAGTCCATTTAACTAAATTTAGCTCGGGCAAGAGTTCACTTAGTTTTAGAGGGTTCACATGGGGTTGACAGTTAGCCAAAAACCATACTCAAACTTCATATAGGCCATCTTGGTTTTGAGCTACACTCCAGAAGATCATGTCATGGGAGAAAACTTTGACGAAGATGATAAAACCATTATGTTAACCAAGGTTACATTCATACTTTTAAAAAGAAAAACAATAGATAAAATCATTCCATAGTATGTTTAGTATGTACAATGAAGGAAAATTATGCATCCGTTGCACGGAAGAAAAAACAAGACAAACCTCCTGCTGCAAGTTGCGGTCAACCCAATCCTTCAGCCTGTCTACTCTTGTCTTGATCCACACTTTGACAAGATTGGCGATTGCAGATTCAGCCTCATAAGGCGGCATCTCTCTGATTAATGACTTACCCCCATCATCACTATCGACCGAATCTTCGACAGCAATATGCACAAGATCTTTCTCTAACTTGTCTGCAGCTTTAAGAACTTGAACTGTATCTGGTGTTAGTTCCATAACACCCGCTATGAACTGTTTTAGTTCGTTTCCATAACAAGAATGAAGTGTAGCTACAGCAACACCTGCAGCAAGTGGATGCCATCTCTTTAACATTGGACTGAACAACTCTTTTTCTTTGCTTGCTAGTTCACCAATGTCCTTTGCCAGGATGGAAAGAACAGGAGTAGGAGTACTCTGGTTCTTCGATGATCGCCTGCTGGAGTCTGCTTGTTCCATTCTCTGTATCAGATCGATCAATGGATCAGAATTATCGAAGTAGGCAGGCAACTAATACTAGACGATCTCATCTAATCATATAGCCTTTTAGCAGACTAACCAACCTTTTATCCATCATTCCAGTAAGGTAAAACAGGTACATGTACAAGCGTACAGTTACATGAGACCCAAGTAATGGATGAACTTTGAACTAATACAGCCAGGGAACTACTCGTTAAATGTGCAGTCATATTGTCTTATGGGTGATTTGGAGCAAAAAAGAACCATACATTAACACAAATGATTGATGTTGTGTAAAAATCTAGAGGCAATCTAGTAAAGTCCATGAAGGCATGTGAAAAAGATAGAGGTTAACAGGAACAAGCAGGCTGCAGGAACTCAATCTGACAATTCAGCAGAACTTACCTGAGCAAAAGCTGTACGAAGTGATGACCGAATATACGTATCAACCCTGCTACGAGCTACATCAGTTTCTTCTCTCCTCTTACGACGATATTCATTAGAAATATCTTCCACTAGTATCTTGGCAGCCGATACACCTAATGATACAATACTTTGCATATATTCAATATTACTAGCATTAAATGTGTCATGGTAAGCAAGAAGTCTTTTCTCTGCCCACCCCAATATTGAGCTCAAAGTTGAACTCAATATCTTTGAATACACTGAGTCTTTTGTTGCTTTAGCATCCTTTGCAACTTCATCCATGTGATTATCAGCTGCATGCAGCAGATCGATGTCTACTTGAGCAGTTGTAACAAAACGGTGAAATAAAACCCAAGTAAAGCAGAGATTGTGAAGCATCTGATTTATGCCCAGTATCACCCAAGTCTTCTTTAGCAACTCTAAAACCTCATCGATTTCATCAATTATCGATCCATCCTCGCTGGCATCAAAACAAGTCTCCAATAACATTTGGTACAGGTGGAGATTCAGTGGAAAACCATCAGCCCAGTGGCAAAAATCTGAAGCAGATCTATCAGGAGATCTACAGGCAAGGGACATCACAGCACTACGCAGCACTTGCATCGACTCCGAATTTCTTCCAGTTTCAATCGGCTTCTCGGAAGCTCCACGTATTATTTGTCTAAGTCGTTGTGATGCATTATCTGATTTATTTAATGGAACAAGAGGATGCACAAGCAACCCAGCCTCGAGAACCTTTAAGTTTCTACTTTGCCAGGCTTCATATTCTTGCTGGTCAGAAAAATCTGAAGCTTTGAACTGCTGCAGCAACTCTAGAGGCAGAACCATTGACTCCACACGTTTCCCAAGCTGTCATCATGGAGGAAGACCAATAAATACTAATCAAACATATTATTTGAGAACAATAGCAATTTATGAAACTTAAATTATAAGAAAAGGACACATTAACCATCAATTAAGATGCAACTGCCAGTCTTAAATGTTATCATCGGTCACCAACTAAATCAACAAAAATCCACTATCACAAACCAAGAAAGTCAACCACATTAGTTCCTTTATCCTGTGAAAATATATGGAGAAAGTGTCTATTAAAAAATAATTTCATAGAAAAAATCCTAGAACCCTCTGGCACATCACTTATGCACAGTGCATTGACATCAAGTTTGATGGACGAGTAAACAGACAACCATGAAACACCATAAAATGATAAAAAATAATTTCATAGTAAAAATCCTAGAACTCTCTGGCACGTCACTTATTCACAGTGCATTGACATCATAAGTTTGATGGACGAGTAAACAGACAACCATGAAACACCATAATTAAGCATTGACCAAAAAACCAAACAGATCATACAGTAATCCCTGTATAGATAGGAATGTTCAAGTGCTATCATCTGGATGTTCATTGGTGGACAGAACGCATATAAAGAAAATTACAGTGAGAAGTACAAACCTATTTACATATGGGAAGTGAGTAGGAATGGAAAGCTCTAACAAAGTCTAAACTAACAGGAAAAGACTCATTTTCTGCAGGAAGAACCTTTTGACCATCACAGGAGGTTAATAAAAACTAGCGTAGATACAGGAATATACCACTTCTCGTGCCAGAACTTAACAGGTAAACACAAATACAAGCACAGGAGTGAACAAGCAAAGTCTAAACTAAGTGGATCAGAAGGATTGTAGAAAGAAGTGCAATAATTAGCATATATAAGAGATCTTTGGAAATTTTTATGCCCTGATTTGAATTTCCTACTAATTGATTCACATCTTAAGATCTCCAACAGACAATTTTGATCAGTCTAACTACTTCATCTGATCTTATCAGTTTAAGAAGTCAGATCAGTTCTTACTACACTAGCAGCGTGTATAATGAAGACTAAGAAGTCAAGAAGATCAACAAACACATAGAGATCTAGGCAGAACAACAGTGATCTGTAAAATTAGTCACCTGCCCCGCTGCAATCCGGAGCAACCCCTTCCGGATCCGGGAATCCGTCTGCTCGGAGATCCTCATCTGCACCCTAATGAGCTCCCCGACTGTGGCCGGCTTTTTGGAGGGCTTGGACGGGCTGCTGTCCTTGCCGGGGCTCCCCTTCTTCGACGACGAGGACGACTTGAGCCCGAGGGCCTTCTTCATCTTGCTGGCGGCGGTGGAGGTGATCGACCTCTGCAGCGACGAGGCCGAGGGGGAGAGCGAGGAGGAGCGCTCGGCGGAGGGCGGCGTCCGCTCGGACTGGGGGATGTAGGTGAGGGGCTTGGAGCCGGTGGTACGGCAGGAAGCGACGAAGATCTCGTAGGCGGTCTCGCGGAGCTCGGGATCCGAGAGGGGGACGCCCATCTGGCCGAAGGGGGAGAGGAGATCGGCGGCGGACATGGCGGCGGCGACGGAGGAGGAGGAGGAGGAGAGGCGGAGGGAGGAACTGCCGCTGCTCTCTCGCTTGGAGTCGCCGAGGCTTCCTCCTCGGAAGAGCCGAGCCATCACCGCCGCGAGAAGGGCTCCTCTTAAGGCTCGCTTCCTTGCTTCTCTTCTCGTTCGCGGCTTCTCCTTTCGCTTTCCGCTGTCATCGGATGGGGATGTAATGATTTCTTTTATGTTTAGGTGAAATGCAGTAATTATTGGGTAATGAACACTAAAGAAGGAGAGAGAGAAAAGAAAACAGTCTGATCATAGTGTATAAAGGCTGACAGAGATAAAAAGAGCAAAAATACTGTTTTTAACCAGAAATTAATATATTTTGGACAAATTTATCCCAAAAATTTAAATATTTACTTTTTTTTATGCATAATGTCGCTTTTTATTTTATTTTCTAAAAATTTATATTATCCTTCGCCTTCGTCTCATTATCATGATCTTCGTCAAGTCAAACGGTTTCATTGTGACCACCTTCTCCTTAAACTCAAAGAAGATTGTTTTCAATAGTTATACAAGGGCAAAGATGTTACTTCATTCTAGGAAAGCAAGCCATCATGCCAGTGACTTATCCAAGATTTCCTTCTTGGCACCAGCATGCCCAATCAAGAGGCAAGCAGGCAACTCAACTCGCAAAGATTTCAATTAGTGTATTTTGTTGAGGATGCAGAGTCTTAATAAAGAGTATGTAATCACATCACGAAGATTGAGATCAAGCTTGTGAGAGAGAATCTTAAGATCACTCTATATCTATAGCTTGCCAATGGAGGCATTAACATTACCATAATATCACTCAACTAATTGGATGGGCCTGGAGAGGATGGTGAAGGTAGAGTGGAAGAGCTTACAATAGAGGATGTGTCACACGAAACAATAGTGATTATAGAAGTCGAAAAGATAGGGCAGCACGAGCTCCAGCTCAAAAATGATGGATATCTAGAGTTTGATGAATCCCTTTAGCAAACTTGGCCTTCTCAATGGTGAGGAGAGGTGAAGGTAACGACAGATGGTGTATAGATTATGGATAATCTTATCGTTTAGAAAATAAGGGACGGGAATAAAGTAAAACAAGAATGCTCTATGAAAAAAAGTGAAAACTTATATTTTTTTTATAAATTTGGCCATATTTAAAAAAATAATTTTAAGGTCCTAGTTTAATGTTTATTTTTGACTTATTTATTAGTATCCATCAGGTATTAGAAGAGTAGAGTTGAACTTGACTCATTTTTTGCCCACTATATCAAATTTTTCTAATTATATATAATATTTAATATAAATTTTGATTATTCGAAAGGGAACCGGATTCGGAGCTTATCGAGGTCCTTTTACCTGTTTTGTCATTGACTAGTGTCGAAAAAAATATCAAATCCCTTTTGTTCCCTAGGTGTTAAATTCTATGAAACAGACATGTTCATCAAAACCCCTTTCGATGCTTAAGTTAATTTTGATTATAAGGTATTAATCAGTCCTTTAGAGTTGAACGTATTAGAGCCTAACAACCCAGTGTGTGAAAAAATACAACTATGGGGATCTTTTATGATATAGCTTTATAATTGTTATGCTCAAAGATACACAATGATATCAAAGATGGTTTACATGCTTCTCTCCGTTCCAATGAAATGTACAATAACTATTGATATAATTTGTAATGTCCAAGGGCAACTCCAAGTCAGCCACATACTATCTAGGTATTGGCCAATATGATAATGAGTTGTTAGGGCACGTGATATTGATCATGTAACACAAGGGTGTCGGCTACATGACAAGTATGCATCTATCAATCATATAATGTTGGGGTGTCGACTACGTGACTAATAGATGTCGGTTATGGCCGATAGGTATAGACCATATCATCATTCCCCTATCAATAAACTAACGTATATAGTGTTATTTGAATTCGAAAACGATCAATTATGTAACAATGTGTTGATTATTCGACATATTTATATCTTTTGTTAGCATAATAATGAACATAGTTTTAAGTTGCTTTTTAGGACCCAAACTGAGAAGTCTGCGATCATCATCACCTTCCTATCAAACAGAGCAGGCAACAAAAGGATAGCCGTTGACGGATGAAGATGAGCGGTTAAGCAGCCGAGAAGCAAACGCAGTCGAGGTGGTCTGCTCCCGTGGCGAGTTGACGACGCAGCAGGGGGGAACACATAGTTGTCTCTGCCTCGGCGGCGAGTTTGGCGTGTGGGCATGAAGGAGACGGCCAGGAGAGGAACATGGGAGCTCGTGGCGGAGAGGTCGGCGCCGCGGGACACTCTGGCTTAGGCTGGCAGGTGTTGGATAAAATGGCTCCGAGACTAATTTCGATTAAAGCAGCCCGTGACTGCCTTTGGTAACAGCTGTGGACGGAGGGGCCCATGTCCGCTTTTCCACCAGCTGTTTCTGATGGCTGCATCAGGTTGCCGCCAATACGTACGTATCCATCTTTTAATAGGAGTAGGTCGAGTATATGGATCATCATCATCTTCAGATCTCACGTCGACGGAAGAGTTTCGCCGGTGATAGTAATCAGGACATTGCAAGAGGGTTAGTATCATCTTATCGGCACAGATTGTCAAAGGATAGGATAGTAGTGGGTAAGCCCTATTTAAAATATCATGTATGAAATGGGATTCTTTTGCCTGTCTCTGATTGAGCACTATGGCTCACACAATTGTCCTACAGTTTTGCTAGGCCACTTTGACATTCATAAAGTCCACCCTCATGATTGCATATTTATTCCTCTCGATTTAGGTTTAGAATATACTTGTCTACAAAACTAATATAGTTAATCTAATATTCGGAGGGATATTATATCAAAATTACATGGGGCAGTGTTTGATAAAGTTTGGATGGTATTATTCTGCCAAAAGAAAAAGAATATAATTTTAAGAGTGATTGGGTTGGTGGGATGGGTCATATTTTTCCTCAATACAATGTCCTCAATACTACCGCAACCAAGTGGTCCAAACTTATCATGTTCTTTCAGAAGCAAGCATAAGAAAGAGTGGCACGCCCATAGTTGCATTCATATCTTGAACTGATACAAGAATGCTGATCCTATCTACTTACCCCCATATCTCTATACCGACAAAACAAATACCGGTGTTCTTTGTTGGATTGATAAACACTGATTAAGACGGACCCATCTGAGCAGTATTTAAAACCACGGACAAAAGTGAAGTATCATATGATGTGTTCTCAATCAATCCCTTTAAAAAAAAAAAAAGGAAAAAAAAGAGGTGTTTTAATAATCAGAACTTCCAACATATAATCGAAAGAGTCTAAGAACATCTACTCTTCCAAAATTCCATGTCAAAAAACAACTCCACTGGATGCATAAGAAAAAAAGAAATATTTGTTGATACTGCAGTCCACGAAGCATTTAGAGATTAAAAAAAATAAATAAAAGCACAAATATGGCTCTAATTAGCATCTTCTGATGCTCTTATAAGACTAGGGAACGAACCTCTGTAACAAGGTACATATCAACAGAAAAAAAAAAAAATCCAAATACAAACAATCCAACACGATCTAGGCAAGTGTTTTTTTAACTAATATACGAAATCATGATTATTGGGAAGAGAGTGCCAACCTTCTATTTTTGTGGTTGCAACAAATTTGGGAAAAGGAATAGAGGTCGCTTCTTGCCGAGTCTAAAATTAGTTGTGTTTGACACAACGGTTCAGATGGAAACCTTAATAATTTTAAAGAAAAATTCATCTCTCTGCAAGTGATGGGACATGAAACTTCTTCCTTATAATGATGAACACCTGGTAATATAACTAAATCAAGATCTGTCGTAGTTCTCTCTATCATATTTTTGAAACCTCTGGATGCCAGGAAGATTTCTGTATATTTAGGAATGGTCAAGATTTTGTACAGAGATATTGATAGTCCTATCACCAAAATAAGCAAGAAAATGATAAGATGATGCAACAGAATCCATACCTGACTGCAAAACAATCACGTATCCTTTTGATCCGAATAAACAGCATCAACATCATCAAGTTCAAGCAACTTGGACATAAGGTCCTTGTTTAACTCCATGGCTTCATCATCTACCTGGCACAGAAAACACCACACAATGAAATTCCAGAGAGAAGTGGAATTAATTATTATGATATGGAGCGGCTGGAGGACAAATATGTTAGAGGATTAACTTGTACCTAAATAATGACACCGTGCTTTAAGACGTAATATGAAAAGTTGAACAAGTATTGTGGCAAAGCTCTAATACACGAGACGAACTACTCAAAGGCCCATTTGGCTCAAGAATATTGTACCTTTCTTGTATGGAATAAGAATATACCTAAGATAAAGAATATTTACGTTTTGTCACTACCAAAATAAGTAACAGTAATGAAAGAAATAGTTAATCTGTTATTTTGTAGAATAGGCTATTCTGTTGGTTACACCATTTAACTAATACAAGTTTATAGTCCTATAAAATAATAATTGTCTGAAATGTTATAATGAGAAAATCCTTATTCCATCACTCAGTATCCAAATGGACCCTAAAGAATTCAACCGTCTTGAAAAAGATTATGAGCCGTGGTGGTAACTAATCTTGACTATGTGCTTATTAGACAAAACTATTTGGATCTAGCATCAATAATCATCGGGAGAAAAATTTGAGGCTAACACAATGCAACTAACAAACTTGCATTTTGACCATGTTCTCAAATTTCTAATGCCCATAGAACAAGATGTTCTACATGTTACATGACACAATAAATAAAGCAGAGGTTTATCTTTAATCATAGAGAAATATGTCAAAATTGTTATCAGAATATCTTTACTTCTTTGGCTGTTCCAATTGTGAAATAACTACTTAATGATAGTGAAAAGATGCAGAACTTGTCGAATTACTAGATATCACACCTTCATTTGTTACAGAGAATGGTCCATGAAGCAAAGGTAAGCAGAAGTTAGAGGATTACAAAGTTAATAATGACATGAACTTCATTGGAAAGACAGTTATAGCTAGAATTTCCATTCAATTAGGTCAAGAGAGGTGAAGAAAAAAAAAAAAACAGAAAGGCACAACAGCATTCAACAATATGCAGGGGTTGGTTAGGCATTTAAGATCAGCCAGTAAAGGGTATGGCTGCACCAGAGAAAATATATGGCTATACTCCAGAAGTTGAAGCATTGCTTGCATAAATCCACTTTGCTAGGCCATTCAAATGGAGCTTCCACAACATATGTGCTGTTTCCTACAAAAGGTTAACGACTATTGTGTCTCACAAGTCACAAGAAAGGCCTACATGGTGGCCCATTATTTTACAAAAATATCAAAGGAGCCTATGGAGGACAAAATCTGCTTTATAAGACTTCCAAATGATGGTACTTTATAGTTTTGAGTTATTGCCACTACCTATTCTAAATGTTCACTAAGGTATCTAATTTACTTCTCTAAAAAAAAAAAAAGACATATGAGATGAGAGCATTGGTGTAGATGTCAAACCATACCTCAATGGGGTTATGTGGCAGTAGCTCAAAACCATTATCTGGTTCAAACGCTACTCCATCATCTCGTAGTTTTGATAGTATTGTGGAATAATTTTCTGAAGAAGTAACGATCTTGTAATATCTGCAAAAGGAATTGAGTATAGAAATAATTTTCTGAACAAATTTTCAAGAACATTAATACTAAATGATCATGATTATAACTTATAAGACAACAGTCAAGCATATAAAGCATCCATCTCTGATTAATTATCTGTCAGGACCACATATTATAATGATCACAGTATATGTTTCTGGATGTGACATATCCCCATGAATGAACTCATCACATGTTTGAATTTGGACATTATGTATGCTGCTTCCCAGTTCAATTAGTTGTCCCAAATATAACTGGCCACAATATGACTGACAAATTAACAGATTGCTTGTACCATAATATAATAACCCAAAAGAAATTCATGTGGTTGCTTGATATATCAGAAGGCAACCGAGTAAAATCTCAGTTTATATCACAGGCACAGGCAACGATTTCATAGCATTGTCTTTTGGACATCAAAATCCATTGCATAAGAATGATGTATGTAATTCTTCAATAAATACTAGCTGTGGAATTTTACCAATTTCCGCTGGCAAATTATGAAGGAAAACAACAAAATATTTGTGGAAACAATGTCTGAGGAGGAGGAATTGATGTTTGAGGAGGAGAATAATGAGAACACACAATTTTTGAACTATCTGAAGTTAGATAGCCAACATACTTCATGCAGCAACAACAGTTGTAGCGACCTTAAATATCTCATGTTACTTGATTTGTTTCTCTAATTAAATTATTAACATTTTGACCATTATGTTAACTTAAGGATGTCATTTAATATTGCTTCATTTAAATGTATATCTGGTCTAGACTAGCATATGTTACATAAAGGGCAGTCCAATGCATCAGACTCTCACCGATGGAAGGTTTGAAGAAGGCTAATGTTTGTAGCCCTACTCCTTATGTCTTGTGACTCTGACCTCAGTCACCTAGGTCGCAAAGAAGCAGCCTTATGTGGTGCCAAGGCTCATTCTCTGCTATTTGTGACCATACCAACTAGCAAAAGATAATAATACATCACATAGAAGGGTTAATAACAATAAACAGTGACTAATGACATCCTCCTCTTGGCAAAATACCTATCAGGACGATCTTCTTCCAAGTCATCTTCATCCTCTGCTGGTTCTATAACATCTTCAGCACCAGCATCCAGAGCAATACTAAGCAGCTGGTCTTTGTCAGCAGCATTAGCCTTTATATTGACAACTCGAACTCGCCTAAACTTGAATAAAATAGATCCTGGATCAGCTAGCTTTGCTCCACAGTCCTTTACGACTCCTCTGACGGCAGCCACTGATCTTGTCACTTTATCTGTTAGGACCTCAACAACCATACCGACCCCACCAAAACCATATACCTGATTCAGAATATATGTATTAGTCAAAATTGCAAACTGATTTTCAAAAACATATTCAAATGGATCATTTACCTCGTAGAATTTCTCAATATAAGCCTCTTGTCCCTTTTCCGTTGCTTTTTTTATGTTACGCTCCACAATTTCCTTGGGTACATCAAGCTCCCTAGCTTTGTCTAGTATAGCAGCTAAAACTGTATTCGAATTAGGATTTGGACCTCCTCTCTGTATACTTTATGATGCAACACAGCAACCACAGCATGTCAACTTCAAAAATTTTTCACATTAAGAGAACAGAAAAGTTCACTTAAAACATAAACCCCAGTTTTAGATCAGATAATTAGGTCCTTTACATCTAGAAAGAGATTTTATCATTCTGCAACAGAGTGATCTTCTTAATTTTCAGGAAGGAACTTGAATGACATGACATATCAAGAAAATGCCTAAGTAACCAGATGAAGTGGGAAGTTCTGATGCAATATAGAAAAGCTCTTTTCATCTATCTAATGGAGACATTAAATTAGGATAAATAGCCAAGCAGCTAGAATTCTTGTCAAACATAGAAACAAGACATGTTGATGGTTCAGCACTTGGACATAGGAGACATAAGTAACTATGATTTACAAAATCTGATGCAGGTAAAACTTTCTAGCAAAAGGCACCCTTGAATAACATCATACACAAAAAAGTATTACTACGAAGTTTCAGGACATCATGGGTGCTGTCATTACAAACAAGCCTACTCTCTGATAAACGTTGCTGAAACATGGCATATGAACATAGTAAGTTCCAGAAAGCTAATAATCAATAACAATATAGAAAGCTTCAGAATTTCAAAGCTTTTACAACTTACGCAGCAACAATTTCTTTTCCAATTTTGCTATTACGTTTCATTTTCTTCAGATTCTGTGCATCCTGCAAAGAAGTGGCAAATGGAACTTAAGCCAAAAACAAAAGAAAAAAAATATTTCATTGTATAATCACACTTATCTCGCTAGAGCTTATCATAACATCTGAATTAAATAAAGAAAAGACAAAACAAGATTAGATGGAAATGACATTTTTCAGGGTAACTAATAAAAAAAAGCACTGTGGAATCATTTTGACACAACAATTATATCTTTCTATAATTCTTAAATAAGCTTTGACAAGTCAATGTAAGGGAATATTACTTTCAAAAACAAGTTTCCTTACATATCTAAAATGAAGTTAGAAAAAGAAACCTGCAGTCCTTGACTGGATTTCCTAATTGGAAAAGAAAAAAACTTATGATCACATAGATGATGATCCTGAAGAACCTCACATGTACTGACACCAAGGCATGAAAAGAACATGAGAAGTAACAAATGCAAACAAGTAACCTAGAAATTATTAGCAAAAGCCAGATTTACAGTACACAGACAACTTATTGTAAATAGTACTGGAGTGGCTGTTAAGAAACTAAACAGCTAGTGGTAGATAAAGCATTCTTGACACTACCTATAAAAGGAACAATAGTGTTTTCAGGAAAGGGCATGAAACTGATGTCCCAAAGACAAAAAGCTGTCAGCATTGAAAATTGAACATAACACAATAATTATTTTCAGGACGAAAGGGGCATGAGATGATGATGTTTAAGGATAGAAGAGGGAACAAATTGATGTTGTGCAAATAAACAATTGCCAACACAATGCAATAATGCTTTGGAAGAAACGAAATCTTTAGTCGGAACTTCAAGCTGCTAAATTATTGTTAGCAACTGCACCACAGTTCTATTTTTCCTTGATGCAACTTTCCACATAGTGATAAGTAGAACATTCCACTACATAGGAGATCTAGATTTGAGTGATGCAGCCAGAATGGAGATCCCAAAGAGCACTACTGCGTCAATCAAACATGTTCGTACCAACGAAGACCCAAGGATTATAAACCTAACCAAGTGAGCAATGCACGAGAGACATATTGCTGATCACATTACTGCGTCAATCAGACATGTTCGGACCAACGAAGACCCAAGGATTAGATACCTAACCAAGTGAGCAATGAACGAGAGACATATTGCTTATCACCTTCTTTTACTTATAAAGAGGGAAAAGAAAACAAACAAATGAATCCGTGTTTGTGATAGACAGATGCTACCTAGAACAAATGATAACAAGGAATCAAGCGTGTAAGACCAAAAAGTTGGGACCTTTCTTCCAGCGATCTTGCAAGAACGCCTGCCCATGCAAACAGGGCGCGAGGTCCATATCTTTCGCACGGTCTGGGTATTACGCGCCTCCTTCGGAAGAGCAGAAGGCAACCTCGAGCCCAGCAAGCCGATTCCTAAAGAGAAGAGACGAGCGGTTGGATTCATCGAAGAAATTGTTGTTACGGAAAAGATGAGAGAGGGGGAGACATACCCTGAAGGCACAGTGAGCTCCTGAGGGGAGAGAGGCCCTGTGACAGTGAGACTCTGCAGAGGACTGCACCGAAAGCCCTCGCGGACGAAGCCATCGATGCTTCTCGTCGCCTGGTTGGGCTGGCGCGCTTAAGGTGTTCGATTAAGTTTCTCACCCGCGGCGACTAAGGCCCCGCAGTGGAGGGCACTTGGGGCATATCCGGGGGCGGGTGGTCACGTTCGGCCCAATTGGTAGACGCGTTTTGCCCAAAACGTACCCGATGTGCTTACCTCATCTTTAGTGGAAAATTCGCGGGTCCCACATATGCCTTGCTCCAATATAACCACGTAGTTGAGACCGGTACTGGAGCCCGAAACATTTGGGCACCTTTCTATTCTCAATCCTTGGAAAAAGACTCGATCGGGCCCGTCGCCCCACACCCCACTCCTCGTTCCACGTGTAAACATCACATCCGTACGATGTCCATCCGACGTTGCAGACACTTCTGGTATAGCCTCTCTCTCTCTCGTAGCTTCGCGAATGCTCTGTGCTTCCCGCTTCTTGCGCCCCTCATCCTCGTCCATTACCAGAGGTGCTGGCCGTCTGGTAAGCCCAACCCTCAAATCTGGTTTTTTCTGTATCCACATATTAAAGAAAGCGATCCGCCATGAACCCCGACAAATTCACGCACAAGACGAACGAGGCGCTGGTCGCGGCCCACGAGCTTGCCCTTGACTCCGGGCACGCCCAGATCACGCCGCTCCACCTTGCCTCCGCCCTCGCCGCCGATCCTAATGGCCTCCTCCGCCAGGCCCTCGTCAACGCCTCCGGTGGCGCCGGCGACGCCGCAGCCCAGTCCTTCGATCGGACCGTCGGCGTCGCCCTCAAGAAGCTCCCCTCCCAGTCCCCACCTCCCGACGAGGTTCCCGCTGCCACCTCTCTCATCAAGGTCATCCGCCGTGCGCAGTCCTCCCAGAAGTCGCGCGGCGACTCCCACCTCGCCGTCGACCAACTCATCCTCGGTCTCCTGGAGGACCCTCAGATTGCCGAGTGCCTCAAGGAGGCCGGCGTCAGCGCCGCTCGAGTCCGCGCCGAGATCGAGAAGCTCCGGGGAAAGGAGGGCAAGAAGGTAGAAAGCGCGTCCGGGGACACCAACTTCCAGGCCCTCAAGACCTATGGCCGCGACCTGGTCGAGGTCGCTGGGAAGCTCGACCCCGTCATTGGCCGCGACGAGGAGATCCGCCGCGTCATACGCGTCCTCTCCAGGAGGACCAAGAACAACCCGGTCCTCATCGGCGAGCCCGGCGTCGGCAAGACGGCCGTCGTCGAGGGCCTCGCGCAGCGGATCGTGCGCGGCGACGTTCCCAGCAATTTGCTGGATGTCCGCCTCGTGGCGCTCGACATGGGTGCACTCATCGCCGGGGCCAAGTACCGTGGCGAGTTCGAGGAGCGCCTCAAGGCTGTGCTTAAGGAGGTGGAGGAGGCCGATGGCAAGGTCATCCTCTTCATCGATGAAATCCACCTCGTTCTTGGCGCAGGACGCACCGAGGGCTCCATGGACGCTGCCAACCTCCTCAAGCCGATGCTTGCGAGAGGGCAGTTGCGGTGCATTGGAGCAACGACGTTGGAGGAGTACAGGAAGTACGTCGAGAAAGATGCCGCCTTTGAGCGGCGGTTCCAGCAGGTATACGTGGCAGAGCCCAGCATTGCTGACACCATAAGCATCCTTCGGGGACTCAAGGAGAAGTATGAAGGACATCATGGTGTTCGAATCCAGGACCGTGCTCTTGTGGTCGCTGCTCAGCTCTCAAGCCGCTATATTACCGGTACGTTTTCAAGCTTTTCCTCTAAGCTTTCAGGACAACTAATGGTGAGTGTAGCTACTGTACCGTCATGTTTCTGACTTGATTGTGCATATGAAGCAGCCATAAAGAACTAAATTTAGGTTTTTGTATATACAAATGATTTCACCAACGTGGCTGTAGTTTAGTGGTTAGAATTCTACTTTGTGACCGTAGAGACCTGGGCTTAAATCCCAGCAGCCACAAAATGTTAATAATTTTAGAGGGCGAGCCTTGGTACACCTTGGAGATCAGGGAGGGTTCAAATCACGGAAACATTCTCTTTATAAAGCTACGTACATTGACCCTCTGCGAGAGCCTTGTACACCGGATATGCCCTTTTTAGTTTGTTTATTTACAAATAGTTTCAATGTTCTAACAATGCTGTTTATTTACAAATAGTTGTAATGATCTAATTCATTAGAGCAAAGGCCAAATTAACTGCTAGTATGGTTACATTTCTGAACCTATTGGGTGTTTGGCCCAGCAAAAGAACTTATTTGGTTTTCTACATAAACCAGTTATTTCATAGTATAGATATTAAATGTCATAGGCGTAGCAGGAATTTTTCCCTGTATGATCTGTTCTTGTTCTGATTTGTGTTCTGAGAATTGTGTTGTTCTCATTTTTCAACAGGCCGTCACCTTCCTGACAAGGCAATTGACTTGGTTGATGAGGCTTGTGCAAATGTAAGGGTACAGCTTGATAGTCAGCCAGAGGAGATTGATAACCTGGAGAGGAAAAGGATTCAGTTGGAAGTGGAATTGCATGCTCTTGAGAAGGAGAAGGACAAAGCTAGTAAAGCAAGGCTTATTGAGGTGGGTGTCTGTTGCCTAAGATCTTTTTATCTTATATGTTATCCTATATGTTGTCTGTTCTGAGTTCTGATGACGTTGTGCAATGTGTTTCCTTCAGGTTAGGAAGGAATTGGATGATTTAAGGGATAAGCTGCAACCACTGATGATGAAGTACAGGAAGGAGAAGGAGGGAATTGATGAGATTCGCAGGTTGAAGCAGCGCCGTGAAGAGCTAATGTTTACTCTAAAGGAGGCTGAGCGGAGGATGGATCTGGCTCGTGTTGCTGATCTCAAGTATGGTGCCTTGCAAGAAATAGATGCTTCTATTGCAACGCTTGAGGGGGGTACCAATGAGAACTTGATGTTGACAGAGACTGTTGGGCCCGAGCACATTGCAGAGGTGTGGGTCCAACATCAACATAATCTTCAGGATTTAGTTGTTCACCAATCTTGTTACTAAAAGTTTGATGTCCTGGTTAGGTTGTGAGCCGGTGGACAGGAATTCCAGTGACAAGGCTCGGTCAGAATGAGAAAGACAGGTTAATTGGCCTTGCTGAGAGGTTACACAAGAGAGTTGTTGGCCAGAATCAAGCAGTTGATGCAGTAGCAGATGCAGTGCTTCGGTCTAGAGCCGGTCTAGGTCGGCCTCTGCAGCCAACTGGCTCATTCCTCTTTTTGGGTCCGACTGGTGTTGGTAAAACAGAACTTGCCAAAGCACTTGCAGAGCAACTATTTGATGATGAGAATCTTCTCATCCGCATTGACATGTCAGAGTACATGGAGCAGCATTCAGTGGCACGCCTAATTGGCGCTCCACCAGGGTGAGTAAAGCTTCTCAGGATTGTCTACTGGGTTCTAGGGTTGTACCTTACAAATGTCATTGCTTAGTATTTGATTTTTTAGGTATGTGGGGCACGAGGAAGGTGGACAACTCACCGAGGCAGTGAGGCGGAGGCCATACAGTGTCATCCTCTTTGATGAAGTAGAGAAGGCTCATGTTGCCGTCTTCAATACGCTCCTTCAAGTTCTTGATGATGGCAGATTAACTGATGGCCAAGGGAGGACTGTCGACTTCACGAACACTGTCATTATCATGACTTCTAATCTTGGCGCTGAGCACCTCCTTGCTGGAATGGCAGGGGAATCTTCGATGAAGATTGCTCGTGAACAAGTTCTGCTAGAAGTACTTTATCCGGACTACCCTTTTCTGATCTCATGCCCTGATCAGTGATCATAATGTTAGACTTTGAATGGTTAACTAGTGTATATGTCAATTATGCAGGTGAGAAGGCATTTTAGGCCTGAGATGCTTAACCGACTAGATGAGATAGTAGTCTTCGATCCATTGTCACATGATCAGCTCAGAAAGGTGGCCAGGCTCCAAATGAAGGATGTTGCGCTCCGCCTTGCTCAGAGGGGCATTGCTTTGGCTGTGACAGATGCTGCTTTGGACATAGTCTTATCTGAATCCTATGATCCTGTAAGTATAGGTTCATCATCTCTTTTCTCTTTTGATTTTGCTGTTAATAGGACGTAAGAGTGATTGAATAACACATATTTGAGTTTCCAGGTGTATGGTGCAAGACCAATCAGGAGATGGTTGGAGAAGAAGGTTGTGACCCACCTATCCAGGATGCTCATACAGGGTGAGATTGATGAGAACACCACTGTATACATTGATGCAGCCCTTGGGAGGAACGAGCTATCATATAGGGTTGAGAGGAATGGGGGGCTTGTTGATGCGGCCACAGGGCGGAAGTCTGATATCCTTATTGAGATTGCCAATGGTGCAGCCAAAACTGATGCTGCTCAGGCTGTTAAAAAATTGAAGGTATTGTGTAATGAGACTGACAATGATGTGGATGAAGAGTTGGAATGAGTAGTTGTTGGATGCCAAGGAATGGTCTTTTCCGGAGGCCAAAATAAATGGAATATTGTTTTAGTTGCTTTTTTCTTTTTTGCCAAGTTGGGGTTTATCCACTGTACACTGAAAATATAATAAGAATGCCATCTTATGTGTTGTACTGCCGCTGCTGTTCTGTTGTGAAAATGTTATTATAACTTTCATCGTGTAAAGTTCCTGAATAGTATATTCCGACTCTGGATGATGTCCAATTGTGCTGCTAATTTGGTAAGTCTTTTTTATGTAAATGTCATCTTCCATGATGATATAAGGATGAATCGGCATGATGGTTCATTTATTTGAATGTCTGACTATGATATCTAACACGTCATATTTATTCATGATAGCATCATGGTGATGAAGACACCACTGGCCTCGTCATGTCCCAGACAAAGGCCCTCTCCTTAAGAGGCTGCAAGGAGGACACATGCAATAATGGGGCAATCAAGGATACTGGAGGATAATGCAGGAAGCGGAGGCTGACAAAGAGGTTGCAGGAGGTGCTGCTGAAGACAGCAAGGAAGCGGAGGCTGACAAAGAGGGTGCAGGAGGTGCTGCTGAAGACAGCAAGGAAGCGGATGCTGACAAAGAGGGTGCAGGAGGTGCTGCTGAAGACAGCAAGGAAGCGGATGCTGACAAAGAGGGTGCAGGAGGTGCTGCTGTCGACAGTGAGGTTGACTGGTTAGATGTGTTTCTGCTTGATATCACTATCTTCATCTGGTATGCTAGCATGTTTGTATATGTATTGCAGTAGTTGCTATTCCCAAAGATTTATGTTTACATTGGATCTAGATCATCATTTTGTATGCTGTGTTCGTGAGAAGAAGGATCAGGTATAGAACAATGGAGACAACTTTTAGTAGCAAAAGTTTTTACATTATGCATGTTGAGGTTAATCATGTGTGTCATAACACTAACTACATTAAAAGAAATTGTGAAGACATTGTTGAAATAGATGAATAAGAAACTTGAAGCCATAATAAATTCTGATATCTAGATATTATTTGATGGGATGACAATATTAAAGAGGATGTTATTTGTGTTGTTAATGCACTAAATTAGGACAGTCAAAATGGATAGAAGTATTTGGAATGTTATATGATTTTAATGTGCCATTGAGTTATTAAGTCCTTTAGTAGTGAACTTGGGAAATGATGAAAGAACTTGTCCAACATAAAAGTGTATATAGATGAGTGTGTTCATATGGAATTGTGGTTGTGTCATTTTACATTGATTATGACTACCCCTTGTTGTTTGTTCATTAGCACATGAAAGCCATGCAACATTCCAAATACTTTTCCATTTTGACCATCCTACTTTATTACATTAATGACACAAATAAGCTTTTGTAGATACTAATGACTCTTGCATCATATTCAAATAAGCTTATCGGATAAGCGCATGAACAACCACTTGTGTCAATAAGATTTTAAGATTTCTTTCTGTAATGTCTTTTGTGATTTATGTCCCACAGTGGTTTAAATAGGCGCCTAGGCGCTTGCCTAGGTGCACGAACGAGGCGAGGCCCAAGTGCCTCAATGATGGGCTAGGCGGTGTGCTTCAGTGAGGCGCCGCTTGGGCGAGCCACCAGGCAATGCACTTTAGTGAGGCGTTGCTTGTGCGCGCTCCTAAACCCAAGCGTCGAGCGATCGGTTCAAATGAAGCAATTAAACCAAGGTGGCTAGTTGGTTCAATTGAACCGAGTAGCTATTTTCTTCCCCGCAAAAGCCACCCCTCGTACTCCCGTGCAAGTCCGAGCCATCAACCATAGCATAGTGTTTGCCTTTGTCGCCGACACATTTTATTATTGCCTCAAGGGCTGAGGCTTCCTCTATTGTCGACAGACGGGTTCGACGGCGTAGCATTCATCCGTAGCTTCCATTCGCCATCGTTGCTTTCATGTGCAGCTCCTTCCACCATTGAGGGAGAGGATTGCAGCTTCCTCTGCCATTAACGGACACCTCTGAAACTTCTTCCGCCCACGACGTGCCATCCGTAGCTTCCGTTGCTACCGCTGTTGTCGTCCGTAGCTTCCTTCGCCGCCATTGTCACTATCGTCCAAAAGTTCCACAGTCAGTGAGTTTTTCTCTCCCGCTTAACAATTCTTTTTTCCCCTCTAACTATTGTTAATAGTAATTTAATATCATATTTTTATTTATATAATCATATTTATCAATTATTTTATATTTAATATTTTAGAGCGTCTCGCTTCGCTCGAACAAGCACCTAGCACCTCGGGCATTTTAGGACCTTGGCATCTAGCGCTTTTTAAATCATGGGTCCCACATTCAATGTTCTTATTTAACCTTTCTACTCTACTATTTGGTTGTTTTGGCTCGTATATCATGTTGCTGCAGAATCTTGAAAAATTAATAGTGGGAGTCAGCACCTCTGTTATTCTCAACAGATAAAATTATTACTTCCTAAATGCCTGACATATTTGCTTTCGTGACTGTTATCACTTGCTATTTTGCTATATTGTGTAGTTGATGGAAGCTTTTCTTTGCTCCTTATTTTGGATTTTGAATAATGTGTGATAAATATGAAAAGATAACGTCAGAAAACCATGTTGCAAGACCTTGCTGAGCTGTTAAGAACCATCATTCATGTTTCTTGATACTTTGAAGAATCTGATTCATTTGAAATAATGTTTCTTATGCTTCTCAAAAGCCTTTAATTACTACAATACTAATATGAAATGAAGCTTGAGCATTCTTGGACTTCTTTACTGATGCATGATGGTCTTTGCAATTCCTATATCATTAAAATGAGTTATCCATCTCTTTTTACCATCTTATGGTTGCTATCTGTCATCTGTTAGACAAGAATTGAATCTCTATTTTGTCTTGGTAGTATAGTACTAAATTAAGTGTGTAATGATGTGCAGGCTTAATGGGATTGTTGAATGTGGCAAGAGACACATTCTCATCCATGAAAGAGCTATGCTTGTCGTGGAACAAGTCAAAGTAAGCCAGGGTAATCCACTTGTTACATGCCTTCTGGAAGGGCCAAGTGCAGGTAAGTCGACAACCTGTTTTCTAAATGATAAAAATCCTACTTCTTAGCAGTGTTGATTCATGATATTTCTTTGTTATCAGTGGCAAAACTGCAATGACGGCAACAATTGGTATTGAAACTGACTTTCCATTTGTCAAGTTCCTAACTTGTTCTTGCATTTGTGATGATCAGAATAACTTGGCGTCTTCATCCGTCTAATGATCGACACCTTTCATGATATAGATCTCTGCAGAAACAATGCTTGGTCTAAGTGATGCAAGTAAACCTGCACAAATTGTCAAGATTCCTATTATTATGCTAGTAGAACTATCTCACTGAAAATGTTCAAGTCAATGAATTGATTATGAGATAACATTTAATCTATATATATATATCCTTCTCCATAAGTTATATCTTCCCCGGAAGAATTAATGTTGTTTTGGTTCTGGATTCTTTTGAATCTGACTTTCTAGCCTACTTATTTGCAGCTGCCACCTGATCTAGTTAGTTCAGTCGTAGTGGTCTCTTTTTAGTGCTGTAACTAAGTCTTGTCTGACACAGATTTTTGGGGATACTTACAAAGATCTCAACTAAGAATCATAATTCTTGATGATATGGACAGGTAAGTCAAGTCCATTATAATTTTCTTTTGCCTAGATTCTTAGTACCATTTGAACATATTAAACAGCTGTTTCAAAACATACATTATTCTATCTAAAGATAGTGATTTCTATAATAGATGGCTCTTGACTATTGTGGCTTGTCCTACATTCTCTGGTCACAGTCAGTATGCTTGTCCTGCAGGGCTCCATGTTCTTGTAAACTATTGTGGCTTGACAATTCTGTCATGTTTAGAGTATGTAGCTATTGGACTGCACGTTTCAAATTTGATTTTCACTGACATTGTTGGTCCTCCTGAAATGGCTTCCGACGAAGGTTCTATTCTCTTCCTCTGTATAAATTCCTCCCTAATTTCACCAAGTAGAAAAAAAGAAGGGAAGAAAAAGAAAAGAAGAAAGCAGTGTTAGAGAATACCAGTCAAGAATCACACTTACACATTCAATGCTAAAATGAAAATGACCTGTATGTTTCTCCCGTTGTTTCTTTGACCCCAAAGATGCCCATTGCAATTTCACTCTCTGTGACCTATTCGTTATGTAACCTCTTTTGTTTGTTGTACAATAGCATTTTAAAGAAATTGTATGCTGAATAATGTTAGCTGTGGTATGTTGATCATGTCGTCAGGTAAGAATATGCTGGTAATTGGAATGGCAAGCGAGGTGAGCTTGATGGAGTATCTTGGTATGTGTGATGCATTCTCTGTTACCTAGAATGTTCCGAAATTGAACAGGAAAGATGTTAATCTTTAATGATATATAGTTTACCTTGTATAGTTTATCTTAGAATAACAATTATGAAATGTAGAATAGACAGATGCATCAATATATACTTAATTGAGAAATGAATAATAGGATTTCACATTTGACATGATTTCTCTTAGATTTTTACATGTTTGTTTTCCTAGTTTTCATAATCTATTTACTTCAGAAACTTACAACTAACAATATTATGCTTTTCAAAAGTTTTCATGGTTATCATTAAAAGTATAAAATTATCTTCTGATGGAATCATTTACCAGTATAAATATAGGTTAAGAGAAGAATTTTTTTCTACACAGCCAAATTACTACTGAACATTTACAACCAATCTGAAACTATGAACGATGATTTCCTTTTTGACCTTTTAACTCACAAGACCTTTCTGCACAACCTGCAAGTGCTCAATGCATTTGTTGAACATGATCTTGACTTTGCAGTATAAGAGCTGAATGATGTAAGTTACCATCATCAGAGTGAAAAATGGTTGCATCCCATCCAATCTCTCTGTATTATGGTTATACCGTGTTTTATTGTAGATCAAGTCTTTATCTTAGCATTTAGTACATGTCATATATTTGTTTGTTCTGGAAAAGTGCTGAGGCTATTTGTTCTGAGAAAGGGCAAATTGATCTCAACCATTTCTATGATATACTGAAGGATATTTTACATGCTGTCATTAGCTTATATCTCTGCGCCAGATCACAGATGCATGAGAATCTTTTGTTAGCAAAACACATTTCTTTCTTACATGTGACGTTTTGATGATTTTTCATTTTTCTTTATCTTTTTCTTTTGTGACCAAAGGAACTTTGTCAGATTCAATCTGATGGCTTCAATTTAAGCTGGAGTTCTGGATCAAGTTTTATATTCAATTTTTTTTGCTTTTAATGAGTCAATCTGAACACAATTTTGCATATTCGGATTATTTTAGTTGACATGCAATAGTTTATCTAACCAGTTCTAAGAGTTGTTTGTGGCATTGTCTACAGAGATGCAGGCCAAGCTGTTCCTCATAAAGTATGCTTGCCTGACAATATATAGAGACTGACACTTATTTGGTCCCCAAAGGATGAGTTGATAGTTCTCTCCTCCGAGATGCAGGAATTGACACCATCAATTCAAGGGAGGAGGCACAAGCTTAGATGAGTTCACACCAGCAACACAAAAAAGGTGCCTTCCAATGATCTCTCTCTCTCTCTCTCTCGCCATTACTTAGCTCTTTAACAAAGGTCTATTTCTTCAGTTCATGATCCTTCTTTAGCAACCATATGATGTCTCCCTTGTTTTGAAAGATATTTTGACCAAGTTACTACTGCAACAATAGCTTCCACCTGCATTCTCGTTCTTACGATCTCGAGATAATAAGAAGGTGGCTATCGTGCCCATCAATTCTCTGTCTCTTTCTTTCTCTTGTTTATTGGATCAAATAAATCGAACTTAAGCTAGTCATGATCAATATACATGAGATTGGACACCATGCAACCAATAGCTTAAGCTAATTAGGTTTAATGGCAAACTCAATATAAATCACCCATGACTCTTCCAATTCTGGCAATCCAGGATTGTTCCTTTGGTTGTCTCACTAAACGAACTTCCACTCTCTGGAATTCTGAAGTAGCACTACGAAGCTTTGATCTCTTCTCTCAATCTCTCTCTCCCTCTGTGTGTCTTTAAAAATGGTTGTAATGCTGAATTGCTATGTTTATCTTGGCCAAACTGTGTCCATCTTTGAGCAGATAAATCTGGCGATAATGTTCTTTTTCCTGAAATCACTGTAGGATGAGGGCCTGAAATCACATCGGACGCCCACTGGGTCATGATGATATGGACTCCTCCACAGCGAGCAGCCATGGGATGTGAGATCCACATAGCAACGTAGATAAGGGAAGCCCGCAACACTAGGCTGTTGTTGTTCCAGTAAAGATCGAAAGGTCAGGCGACAGTGACGATCGACTTTTTCGAGCATGATGACAACGACGACCTGCTCCTGCAATGTCCGTTCCCTACCGTAGAGTGGGAATATATGGGTTTGTAGTTGGCACTATTTCTCGCAGGAATTAATTGAAAGCCATGCAAATTGCTGTTTTTCTTTCTTACATTAATCTTCTTCTGTTACATTAAATTGCACATAAGACATTTCTGTATGGATCCGAACATGAGATCTATCATTGAAGTAATGGGTAGGATTTACATTATTATCATCATCATCATCATCTCCATGGGTTTGGATCTAATTAGACCGAAAACCTCATTTAAAATCCAACCCCAATATTGGCTTGACTTGCTCCATCTCCAAGAAAAATACAACAAAAATTTAGGATGCACATTGAATTGATTTGGTCACTATGAGAGAATCATGGATTAAAAATATTAAAATAAAAAATATATCATAATCATCTACTCACTCTAACGATTCACATTCTATCCACCAAATTTGACATCGGCTTCTAATTAATTTCATATATTAGGTTCTAAAAAATCTCTCCCTTTGACAGATGAATAAATATTTCTTTTAATTCGTTAGGGAAGGATCTAATATAATATTAAATATATATATATATATATTTATTTATTTATTAGATTCTAACCATTTCTCTCACAAGAATAGGAATCGACGGCCATATCCGCAAAAACCCACCAATTGTTCACAGTAAACGCTCATTGAATTAAGGATCGAAAGTAGCTTTTAAATTTCTAGAGATTTCCAATAAAAGTATACTCGTATCTTTTACAGTGATGATGCTCCGGATGATAAGATGGAAGGATGCGAGCTTGCGTGTGTCAGCCGCCTGCGATCTCTGTGGCGGGGACGAGACGAAGACAAGGACGTGAGCGGACGATGCCAAGTCTTCTCCTCCCCCACCACGCACGTCTAAGATTCCCGAGACGGCCTATCCCGGTGGCGTGTGGACTGCACAGACGAACGAGTAAATGCCCATCCCCCCTCTTTCATTCTTTCTCTTTGCGTGTGTGAGAGGAGCGCCTATAAATAAGCACGAAACAAGCCCCTTTTCTCTCCAAGAACACACCATACCATTCTCACACTACAACCTCTGCTTTCTTCGAGCCTTTTCGCCTTCCTTCCTCGTCTAACCATGTCGACCTGCGGCAACTGCGACTGCGTTGACAAGAGCCAGTGCGTGTAAGTCATCCTCCATCCCTCCACCTCTTCTTCTTCTAACCTCGCCCCGTTTGTGTTTGATGAGTCGACTCTTCCCACATCGCTCGTCAAAACTCAGAGCTTTATTAGGGAACATCAGCAATACTATATGTATGTGTAGAAGGTCAACGTTGGCTGAGGAACTTGGTTTTGCCTTTGCAGGAAGAAGGGAAACAGCTACGGTATCGATATTGTTGAGACCGAGAAGAGGTACTGATTAGCTTCTTCTCCCTCCTCCTCTTCGAGGATGATCAAACTAATTAGGATTACACCTTATCACCTTACCTAATGCTTCTTCCGTATTCATTTCGTCTCTTCAGCTACGTCGACGAGGTGATCGTTGCCGCAGAAGCTGCCGAGCATGACGGCAAGTGCAAGTGCGGCGCCGCCTGCGCCTGCACCGACTGCAAGTGTGGCAACTGAGAAGCACTTGTCACTACCACTAAATAAAAGTTTGCAATGCATAAAAAACAAAAGAACAAAAAAAACGGAAGAAGAAGGTGTGGCTATGTACTCTAATAATTCGGGCAGGCTGATAGGTTGTAAGATGGGATAACGCAGTATCATCTGTGTTATCTCTGTCCTGTGTTACAACTCTCCTATCTATCCTAGTCAATGAAATATTATTAGTATTAATCTGGTTGTGTCATTCATATATGCTGCTGCTGCTGCTGCTTCCTCCTTCACCAATCAACCCAAAGGATTGATTGCACTGTAAGACCCAACTTCCTCACCGATATGCTCGCTCAGCTACGATGAATGAACAGAAACCAAACGAGTCTGCAAATTTAAACTTCAGAAATATTAGTGAAAGGTTCCTCTTTATTGAAGGAGGATGGGATAAGGCAGCATCATTTGTTGTTTTGATTACATCTGTGTTTAGACTTCCCCTCCCTATCCTAATCGGATGATATACCACTGTCAAAAGAGTGCAATTTTATCACGTACTTACCTACTAGTATTTACCGGTCCGGCAAGAACCGAGAATCTAGTGATATTGGGAGTTTTATGATGGGGATTCTTATGATATTTTGATGTCCAAAGTTTGGACGAAGGACTGACTATATTCACCCTAATTTATATGGAATACAAATTATGCTGCTTCTTTCAGATGGGTATGACTGGCCGGGCGCACTATTGATCCACATTACAACTACAATCAAAAGCATTGGCATCACATCTTTCTCCTTTTAAAGTCAGCTCATGGATTAAAAGCTTTGTAGGAAGAACATATTCTTGTGCCCATTAGCAACACAAAGGGTCAGAATAATATTTTTTTTATATATACATATTTCTGAAAGATTGTTTTTCTTTATTCTTTTTGGTGACATTGCCAATGAATGAATTGATCGGTTCCAATTTATGCATTGCCTAAAAGAATCTACACTGGTACTCTTTGGTACAAGTATGATGAAATGGAGAGCAATCTAACTAACAGAGGTGCCTCAGGGTTGAACTGTTCTTATGACTGTCTTGATCATGGGTACAGAGAGGAGGTCCAGGTTTTTGAAATGCCACCAGTATAGATAGATAGATAGATAGATAGATAGAGATGATTGCCAACAAAAGATACCTCGATATGACAGAGAAGAGGAAAGGATAGGAATGCCCTTGCAACTTGAAAGATCAAAGATCTATCCTGATCTTTCGATTGTGGCGGAGTTTTCATTTTGTGATACAAAACCTAACAGCAAGTTTAAGCAGATTTGATGATTGCATAAAAAGGTTGAAAATGTTAGAACATGAAAAGAATGAAGAACATCACTTGGATCCTTTTCAGAGTAAGAGAACATCATTCGAGATGGCCGACATCATAATGTTTGAGGTCGATTGTGAGGTTGGCAAAGAAACTTTGTTTAAGGAATCAATCAATATATGGGGTTTAAAAGAAATGCCAAATCCTAGTAATATGACTCTTATTTTTTTTTTTTACCTTTTGTCATTTAGCAGCAACATGTCACCGAAGAAGAAGAAACTTCACCAGATGCTGACTTCCTTCCTGTTATATGCATAATAATGAGCTAATAAATATCCAGATGCAGAGAGAGACTGTAATTTCACTCTCCATGTACTGCATCTCAAGTCAATTAAGCAGATACAGATGAGACCTGGTCAACTTCCTTCTTCTTCTTCTTCTTCTTCCTTTTCCTTCTCTGGCTTTAGTGAAGGTTACAATACAACCGGAAGGAATTCTCCACAACGTCCCAAAAGGCAAGTATCTTATCTCAGCAGAAACCACTATGTTTGGGTGGGACAGCATGGAAGATGAGGACCTCATCCATGGAAGGGAAGATTGGATGTGTGTGCTATTGTCATGATTTGATCTGATGAAAGAACTGAACCATCAGTAAACCAAAATTCCTATATTGTAAACGTATGTTTTGTTTGGACAGGGATGAACTTTGCATGATTAGTACCAATAATCTTGGCTATTTAGCATGTTTATTACTGCGGTTACTCCCAGTAAACACCATTTCTCTGCATTCCATCCTTCTCACTGAACCCCAACCCCAAGCTCAAGTCTTATAATGAGAGAGTCCTTTTTAATTCACACTCGAGCCAATCAACAAGTGGGGAACACTGTTTTTGTTCTCATTATATATATATATATATATATCATGACGCAATTCTACCCGCCTCTGCTCTCACCTCACGGTCTCTCTGACTCTCGCAAACACCGTATAGCATTCATTATTTAGAGTTTGGACATGGCTCACACAAGTCGTGAATCGAAGGAACCAATCATTTGCGTCTTGTTTGTGTTGGTCATCGGCAAGTGGAAGTCCAAAGCAGCTAGCTTTTGCTTTCTTGGATCTTGCATGGGATGATCTCCATGTGGTTTCTCGAGAAACAGTAATCTACTAAGGAAAAATCTGACACAAATCAATCACAGTATGCGCCAGGGAAGAGAATTTTCGCAGTTGTCGACTCAGAAGCATCAGATAGCCAAGAAATGGATAGAAAAAGATGATCTTGATGAAGGAGAGACCACTCAGAGACAAGTAAGACTGAAGGGGAACATAACGGAGATGGTTCGTCCATGCTTCGTTGATTTGGTTTGCTTGGTGGTAGAGCCCCCGAGGTGTACAATTGAGCCATCTCAGGTGGAAGATGCGGACGGCATCCTCGGCGATGTCACCGGGAAGAGCGGCAGCAGCCTTGGCGGCTCCGCGGCCCCTGTCGTGGTCCTCGGCGAAGGGTGGAGGTAGAACCCCTTCTCGGCGATCGCCCGGTCCTCCGCCGACGACGCTGCCGCTGCGGCCGCCGAATGGTTGAAAGGATCAGGGATCAGCGGCGTGACCGGGCTAAGGGTCAACGACGGCAGGTCCAGCGTGCTCGGGGAGAGGATCTCCGGCTGCCTCCGGGGGGGGAAGGCGGCCCTGCCCAACGGCGAGTTCGGGTCAGAACATATCATCTTGAGGTTCTTGAGGCTGCCGCGGCGCTCGTAGAGCTTGAAAGCCGGCTTCTTGGGGCCGGTGGCCTTAGCGGCGGGCGGGATCCCGCTCCTTGTGGGCGACGCCACGGTGCCGCCCACGTGCTTGGCGGTGGTCTCGACGGAGCCCGTCAGCATCTGGACTACCTGTTTGAAGGAACCGGCGTCGGCCTGGACGAAGGTGGTGGGGGAAGGATTGGCGTCGATGGATCTGGGTATGGACTTGGGAGTGAGAGGTGCGGATGAAGGGGCTGCTGCAGTGGCCACTCCATTGCTGCTGCTGCTGCTGGAGGTGGAGTTGGGGGAGGAAGGATCAGGAGATTGCAGCTCCATTTGATGGATGTGCCTAAAGAAGAAGAAAAATCTAATCTTCTGCTGACGGGTGCAGTGTGGTGTGGCAATCTGGATGAGAGTGAGAAGAGGAGGGATTAAAAGTAGAGATTGTGTTGGTGTTTGTTGGCGATGGATTTGGATTTGGGTGACGAGAGGGAATGACCGAAGGA